AATTTTTAAAAAACCGAACCCAGCTTTTAAAATTGGTATACAGGATTTATTCTTTCCATGCAGGATTTAAAGGATTTTTTTTTTTTTTTTATACCTGCTATAGGAGTCAGATGCAGAAAAGGGTAACAAAACCCCAATAAATAGAGTGATTCAGGATTAAAATAGCTCTTGTCTCAGTCAAAGGGGCAACAAAGACAACAGATCGGCCCCCGCAAAAATAAAACCACATTTTTTTGTCAATAAAAGGTCAAAAAACACCTTGGTTTTGCGGGTTTTATTACCGCTCCCCAGCACCCAACCTCAAACGAACCGGCACCACGGGGAGAAGGGACACGTCTTGCTCCACAACTGCTCAACCACCACCCTGAAAACTATTTAAAAAAGAATAAAATCATTTATTTCTCATTTCAGGGCACTTCAGTAGGATTACCATCACCCAGCCGGCAAAGCACTGCTTGCCACCTCCTTGGGACGTGAAGACGTTGCAGTGGTTTCCTCCAAAACCACCATGAATTATAAAAAAAAAAGGGCATTTTTACTCCTGTATTAGCGCCTCCTCCTGTTCAAAACAGTTTATTTGTGCCCCGGAGCACCAAAACTTGGCTTCAATGAGGTAAGAGGGGTATAATTCTCCTCTATTTCCCTCCTCAGAGAATTTTCCAAGCAAATAGAAAAACACTTAAAGGGCTGTGCTTGCCTCCCCTCCTTTGATCCCAAGGCAGGATTAAAAGGACATAGTACATGGGACAGCAGAGCCCTCAGAGCTTGAAATCCCCCCTCCATATTTCCCTAAAAATCCTCTTCCTCACCACAACGGATATGAGGCACCATGCCACACGGTTTCCTCACGTATCAAGGAAAAAAAGGGAAAATAAAAGGATTTACAGGGCTGTTTTCACCTCACGGCACCAAAGGTCAGTCTCTCCTCAGCAAACAGGGTGGAGGGGAGCGATTTTACCTCATGGCGTCCCCTTTTTCCCCTCAGAAATGGGGGAAAGCGGAGAAATCACCTCAGGGAGCGGCGGCGGCGGCGACACCTCCCTGCGCCCAACCGCTTTTCCCGCCTTTTTCCCCTCACCTGAGCGAAGCGCGCGAAGAGGGGCGGTGCGTGCAAACTGACCCCGCCCCTCGGCCGGGCGTCGTCTTCTATAGGACT